GGGTTTCACCATGTTGACCAGGATGGTCTCGATCTCTTGACCTCGTGATCCACCCGCCTCGGCCTCCCAAAGTGCTGGGATTACAGGCTTGAGCCACCGCGCCCGGCCCACTTTGGTATTTCTTTAAAGAAAATCTGGCTAGGTGCAGTGGCTCACGCCTGTAATCCCAGAACTTTGGGGGGCCGAGGCAGGCAGATCACTTGAGGTCAGGAGTTCAAGACCAGCCTGGCCAATATGGCAAAACCCGGTCTCTGCCAAAAATACAAAATTAGCCAGGCATGGTAGCAGGCACCTGTAATCCCAGCTACTCGGGAGGCTGAGGTAGGAGAACCACTTGAAACTCGAAGATGGAGATTGCAGTGAGCTGAGATCATGCCACTACATTCCAGCCTGGGTGACAGAGGGAGATTGCCTCGAAAAAAAAAGCAATCTAAAGAAAATATGGCAAAATGTTACTATTTGTTAAAGCTAGGTGGAGGCTACAAATGTGTTTACTATACTACTTTCTGTCTTTTTGGTATATTTTAAATATTTCAAAATGTAAACATGTTACACAGAAAAGATATGGCCATATGCATGGTATGCCCCACTATAAAAGGACTATCCTATAGAAAAAAGACAAGCTTGAAAAGGAGATCTTTGTTTATAACAGCAACAAAAATTGAAAACAGAATTAGTAAAATAAACTGTGGTATAACCATACAATGCAATGCCATGTAACCATAAATAAATGATGGTTCAGAAGTCTGAATACTGGGCCAGGTATGGTGGCTTGTGCCTGTAATCCAAGCACTTTGGGAGACCAAGGCAGGCGGATCACTGAAGGTCAGGAATTCAAGACTGGCCTGGTCAACATGGTGAAACGCCGTCTCTACTAAAAATACAAAAATTAGCCATGCATGGTGGTGCACACCTGTAATCTCAGCTACTCAGGAGGCTAAGGCAGGAGAGTCACTTGAACCTGGGAAGCAAAGGTTGCAGCAAGCCGAGATCATACCACTGCACTCCAGCCTGGGTGACAGTGAGACTCTGTCTCAAAAAAAAAGAAGTCTGAATACTGACTTAGAAACATGTTGACAGTATATTAAGTGAAAAAAACAGACCATAAAATCATAGGTTCTCAACTAAGGTATTAAATGGTTAAAGGAACCTTCTATATGCGCAAACAGGCCCAAGTTCCATTAATGCACCTGCTATATTTCAGTCTCTTATCAACTAGCATCCATGGAAAGAAAACCAAAAGAACTCTGATTAACAATAAAAAGCATAATAGATTAATTCTAGAGTTTCAAACCAGAAAGATATTGCTATAATATTTACACTGAACAGTTGCATTCTAAGCCAAAAAACAATTATTTCCCACTATTGGTTTCAACAAATCTCATCTTTCCAGATGAGACCTGTTCCATCTCACCATCTAGTCAGAGAGCTACCAAAGCTAGCACAGTAGCATAAGTTGTTGATCATATATACAAAAAAGTCAGGCAAAATATAATAGATGATATACAAAATAAATTGAGTCAGATACTATAAACAATGCAATCCGAAGCTATATTCCATATTTATAAGAGGAAAGAGTGGCAGCAAGAAGTCACTGAAAGAATTTTGAGAGAAAATGAAACATTTTTGTCCTACTACATTTATACCCTCTGATAAATTGGAAATTTACTTGGGTGCACTAAAACTCTATGTTGTTAATTAAAACTTGCCAAAAGGTCTAAAAATCATAAATATCCTACGTTATAAAAACTGCAATAGCATATAACATATATGTGGGGAGTTAGGACTCTTGGGGAAATATTTTAATTATTATTCCTTTACTGTAAATGTATTTCTTGTGTTCTTTATACCTTGATGAAATATTTTTGAGACTGTTAAGACCCGAAAGATATCAACTTGCATTTATTGTGCAGAAATTCAGAATGGTTCAGGTTACACAAAAGTAGTCAGATATAAAGGGCACTAAATTTCATCTTCTCAAAGAGTTGATTTTGAATTCAATCACCCTTTGAGAGAAGACATCCCAGCTCGCATAATTTCATCAACCAGGAGAATGTTGGTGGCAATCACTGTGCTAAAGAAAAAGATTAGAGAGTGAGTAAAGCCTACCTAACCCACTCTTAACTTTTTCCCCCAACAATCTTTAGCTATGTAGGGTACTTTGTTCTTTAATGATGTTGGTGTGATATTTTATGAGACAAGGCTATTATAAATAGAAATGTCACACTTTTTTTTTTTTTTTTTTTTAAGATGGAGTTTAATTCTTGTTGCCCAGGCTGGAGTGCATGGTGAGACCTCAGCTCACTGCAACCTCCACCTCCCAGGTTCAAGCAATTCTCCTGCCTCAGCCTCTCGAGTAGCTAGGATTACAGGTGCCCACCATCACACTCAGCTAATTTTTATATTTTAGTAGAGACAGGATTTCTCCATGTTGGCCAGGCTGGTCTCGAACTCCTGACCTCAGGTGATCCACCTGCCTTGGCCTCCCAAAGTGCTGCAATTACAAGCGTGAGCCACCACGCCTGGCCCAAATGTCATGCTTTGTATTATAATTTCAACTCTTTCGCTGATAAGGTGGATGCCTGATTTATATTCCAGCAAAATTGAGCTTATTTTTATAATATCATTTGATTTTCTCCATCATGCATGTTCTACTATTTCAGCAAAATTTCCCCTTTCCCTTCCCCCTGAGAAGACTAATTTTTCTTATAACTTAACACTGCTAGATCTAAAACACAAAACGGACTATGGACTATAAAATGACAGAAGCTATTCCTAATAACTGAATACTACACCTTTCATATACTTGACAATTTTTCCACTGTAGAGTGACAAAAATAATAGAAAAAATTTTCACCTTAATATTATCAATTATAACTCTAAAGGTCTTTCACTTTATGTTCATACAAACTTACCAAGAGTGAAGAAGTTGTTTTTTTACACAATAATTATCCCAAACTCCTTCATCTGCTGCTACCATTGGCTCACCTGCAAAGTAAAAACAATTTTAATACCAAAATATTAGTATTTTCTATTAATATTAATTGGTACCTTCTAAAAATACTTAATACACTACCAAAACTACTTTTGTCACGATCATCAATGACCTCCATATTGTTAAATCCAATGGTTGATTCTCAGGCCTCATCTACCAACATCTAACACAGTTAATCCACTCTCCTGCTTACTCTTTCTTGTCTTCCAGGACACTATATTCCCCTGGTTTTCTTTATTTTGCACTACTGGCTCTTTTTCTGATTACTTCGCTGATTCTTCCTCTCCCTCCCTGACCTCTTAATGTTGAAGTACCCAAAGGTTCAGTCCTAGACTCTTTTCTCTCTACACTTACTCCCTAGGTGATCTCATCCAGATTTTTAGATTTAAACCATACACATCTGATGACTCTCAAGGTTGGGAGCAGGGGAGATTGTGGTGTTTTGTTTTTGTTTTTGAGACAGAGATCTCGCTCTGTCACCTAGACTGGAGTGCAGTGGCGAAATCTCATCTCACTGCAACCTCTGCCTCCTGGGTTCAAGTAATTCTCCTGCCTCAGCCTCCTGAGTATCTATGATTACAGGTGCTCTCCACCATGCCTGGCTAATTTTCATATT